TTTGGAGCAGGATGAGCAGCAGAGGTAACCATAATGTGTAGACTTTACATACTGGAGGAAACAATTGAAATCCCATAATCTTCTACACCATCTGCACTAACCTTTGAGAAAGGTGAGGCAGAACACTCAGTCCCTGCTGCAGCCATACACAGAGCAGAAACTTAACAGCAAAAGGTGACAAAGCTGGAAAATTAGATATCCCAGCTCTAAGAAAGTGCTCATGGATTTGCAGAAAAACGCAGCAATCTGGGAAGCCTTACAGCAAATCACTTATGCAAAAAACCCCATGGTGTGCAGTCTAGACATGAGAGGGTCTGTGCCCTTCTGCCACTATGTGTATGTCCAGTGAGATTAGTGGCTTCTGGCAAATGAAATAAGGAAAGTCAGGAGGTCTCTAGAAATACAATATGCTGCTTATTTACTCTAAATATTTCCACACAATCCTCATTACTGCTCTCAAAAAATCAGGTGGGCAAGGTAATAAATCCCCTGGGATTAAACTCTGCCCATACCTGTGCCCAGCTGCAAACTCACACACAGAGGGACAGGGCTTTAGTTTATGTTTTGCCTTCCCACCCTAGACAATTGCTAAATTTTACTTGATTTGAACTCCACACAATGAGGGAATAAAATATGATAATCTATGTGCCACATGAAGGCAACTCGAAAGTGCCCGTCTGCTTTGGTCTCAGCAGTTAAATGGAGAATGAGTTCTAACATGCTGGAAGTCAAAGCTAACTTTAAAAGTTCTAAAAAGCTCTCTAAAAGCTTTAAAAGGTCTTCATTAAGAGTTTGTAAGAAACTTCCTTGTTTGTTTCTAGGAAAAATAGCATACAAGTTTTTCTACAGTATTTTTACTAAAATAATTGTCAGTTACACTGTAACCAATTAGATATTGAAATATATCAAGAAAAGGTAACTGATATTAGTAGGAATATAAAACAACAAACTGTTTCAAATTTTGAGTCTTAGATTTCATTCACCTGCATTTTTGTGCAAAATAACATTTTGTTATAATGTTCTCATTCCAATAGAATATATTTAAAAACACATTTTGCTTTTAATTTCATATACTAACAAGGTAGGTGATGTTAATTATTTTTGCAACTGTTTGAGTAAGTAGCATTAATCCAGTTGTATTCCAGCTATTTTTTCATATTATGCTGGGTTTTTTTCTAAAGAGATGATATGTTTTTTCCCAATGCAGACTATCAAAGTGATTGCCTGGCAGACTACAAAACACCAATTCAGGCTTATTTAATTTGCACTTATTACATAAAAAAGCAATCACTGAAGGAATGTTATTTTCAGCAAATAGTTGCATACAACCTCTTCAGGCTGCAGAGGTAGGATCCATCTGCTTTGTGCTGCCATTTGTTTAACTAAAGTCACAGAGCTGTACTGTGTATTAATCAAAACAGTAAACTTCAAAAGACATGTTCCAAATTCAGGAGAGACTGTAATTACAGTTCCTGTGAACATCCATTAGCTTTGCAGTCTCCACAGATGAGCATGCACAAAACACTTCCCCCACTCTTCCAAATAATTGCCACTGGTAGCTCACACAAGAAGTGAAAAAAGCATTTCATATTTTTGCTTGAGCCTATAAACACTAAATTGTTTCAACTCACTCAACAATTCTTTATAACTAAGAAGTGGTTAGAGAAACTGTTTTAGTATTCATCCTTCAGTCTACCTTACCACATTTTCTCTTCTCTTTTTCTCCCAACTTTCTTTCCTGGAAGCTACACTTGGTTCTGCAGTTTCACACCTATATATGATAAAAAAAGAAACTATAACATGAAATACTGTAGCAATTTTTCTTGAAGAGTAGCACCTCCCAATGAGACACGTGAAACAACTTACATTCCACAATTCTCTGTTAAATCTTTGTAATCTCTTTACAAAGACACTATGGCAGGTCAAGTTTTCAAGACACGCTTACCACAGGAGATAAAATAGGATGCTGTTCTCCCACAAGAATGGTCCACGTGGTCCTACAAGCACCCAGATAAGTCCTCTTTTCTGTCTCAGTAAGATATTTAGATGTATACAGATACAACCCCTGCCCAATACCTGTTAAAAGCACGTGTGTGATGATAACTGACAATAAAAATACCAGCTTCATATCAAAGGCCAGCTGCAATAATCAGCTACTACTTCTTTTTTTCAGTGAATGCAATAAAAATTGTGCAGAAAAATGTATGTATCTTAACCCTGCACAAGTCTCACCCAAAAAAGAAAATCACCCAGAAATACGAGAGCACATCAGTTGGAAAGTTCTCCATTGGCATCAGGTAAAGAATGTAAAGATACCTTTACATTCATTGTGCTTAAGATCTTATACAAATACAAGGAAATTCTTCTTGCAAGAGAGGAAATTTCTTGCAACAAAATTTTTCTTGCAACAGAGCCCAGATAGAGGAAACATTTTTTTAAATGTATCTTAGAAAACTTAATGATAATATACTGTGTTCAAATAAAGAATTCCATTTCACTGCCTGCTATTCTAGGTGTAAGATGTTTTAATAGAAACACTAAATATTTCTCCCCAATCATACCCTTGATCCTTTATGTCCAGTATCTTTGGCCTTGCCCTGCCAAGTACCTCAGTTTAGGAACACTTGCTTTTTTTATCTAGGAATAAATAATGAATTACCACTTCAGCACTCCCTCCCACCTTCTGCCCTCATGCAGTTTTCCCCACTTGTCATAAAAGGAGATGCTCTGCAGGACCCTCTTTCATACCAGCATCTCTCTCTCGTGTCATCTTTTCGTAAGTGTGTTGAGGTGCAAATTTCAAAAGAAAGCTGTTTTTCTTGTGGCTCACTGGTTTCTCTATTCTCTGTTATTACAAGACAACCTGACATTCCCACATGTTGAAAAATTAGGAAAATGCAAGACCAACCCATCAGAAGTTGTTGTGCATTCATTCTGGAGCTCACGGCCCTTCTGATGCCCATTTCCTCTTTTTTTTTTTTTTTTTTTTAACAGCGAATTTTATTATTAAGAATAAATTCAACTTTATTTCTTTTAGAATATTATTTCTAATGCAACCAACATGTTTTGCCTTTAGAGACAAAGGCAACATTCTTGTTCTAAAGCACCAATATACCATGGATGGCTCAAAATCCCATCTGGTACTTCTTACCTGGTATTTATTTTTCAGGAAAAAGCAAGGGTTATTTTTATCTTGTTCAAACACAGAGGTATTTTTTCTACCCCTAACAATGGAAAAGACATTTCTTTCTAACATAGCTGTACTCAGAGACAAACAGGAATCATGTACCTCACAAAAAAAAATCACAGGATATAAACAAAATGAAAATTGTGATAAAGTATGTATATCTTTTCTAGAGAAGAAACAAGATAAAATGAAATATCATTTTCTTCCCCACATCCAATTTGGGAAGCTACCTACTAACTAATATAAAAAGGGATGCAATTTTAGACCACAACCCCTTCCATTTCTGAATATTTTTTCTGAGACATTGTGGTTCAATAATGCCACTGAAAGTAGAAAAAAAATTGTAATAGAATTTAATTCTTGTGCTATTCTAGATACCATTGCCAGAGCGACTTTAAATTGCTTTTGAACGAACTAGAAAGTTGAAGTTAATTGAACACAAGGATTCATGTAGCAAATTATCTTACTACTAATGGTATGGAAGACAGAAACCTGATTAGTTACCCCAGCTGGATACTCGCAATGTTAGAAGTCGAGAGATGCCAGAACTAAATCAGAAAGGTGAAGATCAATAGTTCTTTAATCAATGGTGGATTACAGTGGGATTTATTCTGCTGAAAACAGCAGGGGCAGATAAATTCCCCGCTGAGATTAATTACTGGGAAGGGTGGATGTGAACAGAGGAGTGCAGTCATCTCTGTGACAACTCTAAGTGGCAAGAAGAACACCAGTGGGAGTACAGAGCTCTTTGCCTGAGTCTCTGCTGGTGACCAATGACACCCTCATCAAATTCCCAGCGCCTCTTAGTTCCTTAGAAGAAATTGCCTTGAAGCCTGTGGATTTCTACAAACACAAATACTATAAACCAAGAGGCAGGGACACAATTTCTTGGCTTTGTTTTTAAACTGATGGGTTTTTACAGCCGTTGGGTTCCTAAAAATCCATATTACAGAGACAAAAGCACCAATGTGTGCAGCCGAAGAATGACAGTTTCATGCACAAAGGCTGATGACATTTACAGAGCCTGCTTAAAGTCAAGGGGTGGTCAGAGCTGCTGGGGCTCTGTCTGCTGGGATCCATCATGTCCATGGAATCCATGATTACCATTAGAGCCTTTGCTGCTAAATGTTACAGTTCCCACAAACTGGCCACTAATGCATCACGCTCTAGGCCTAAATACTGTAACTGAGCCACCAGGCTGGCTAAGCAGAGTAAAGAAATCACAGAGCATCTCTCGTACCAGAACTGATTTAGAAACAGGTCATAAATTGAAATTACTGTGACTTTGAACTACTTAAGGAATTTACTAACATGACAAAACAAACAGAGCCAACAGCTTAGCTTGTCAGTGCTTGATTTTCCACCAGCTTGAGGGAAAGTCTTCTAATTGGTCTCCCCTCCTGACATTTTATGTTCACTTACCTTACCAGAAGACAGCAAGATACAGAGTCCAGCAGATTTTAAATTTGCTGGGAGGAATATGATGGATTTATTTGTTCTCTTACTTTGATTATTACCAGTAACTCTTTGAAAGAGATGGCATCAGATGGCATCAACTTTCCCATTTTACTTCTTGTAGAAACCATTTCAGAAAATATTTTCAACTCTGACTCCACCCAGCTACGTTGGTCTGTTTTCAATGACTTGGAATTCAGGTTCTTAAAGAGAAATTTCTGTGGGTTTTTACTCTGAATTTTATCAGATACCAACAATCATGTCTGTGGGGCAAATCAAAAAGGATTCTTTATTGGGAAAAAAAATGCAAGTTTAATACAGATATTATATAAATTACAAAAAATGTTTTAAAAATCACCTCTCCAGGATACCCAGATTAATTGAAGGTGGAGCCTCAGTGAAGCAAATAAAGTCTTTCTAAGACCATCTCTCATTTTAAAGCAGATCATAAAAATAGTCCAGGCCTTGTCCCAGTTCCCAGATGGAGATTCCAGTGCCCAGTTCTTTTGCAAGCTCCAACCGCAACTGGATGGACTAAAAGACAGATAAAGCAATAATATCTCAGTCAGAGATATCAGACACTCCATACTGCCATCTCTTCATGCCATTACCAGACATTTAAAAACATCTACCCTTGAACCAGCTACTGAAAAACCTTGTCTGTATTTCAAATACTCTCTGGTTAGCAAGCAATCATTCAGTCAAAGACAGTTAATCGTACCAGTTAATTCAATGACCTAATAAAAGATTACCATCTAAATTGACAAAATGCCACAGAAATAAATCAGATTTATGAACTATGCAAAGGACTATTCTAATTTAGGCCATCATTTCACAATGTACAGAAATTCTAACTCTTCCCAGAAATATCTCAGGGGTAAAATAAAACTTTATCACTGAAGACGATCAGAACAATTTGTCAAATACCATCAAGATCTCTTGCCTATGCTTGCCTTTTCCCAGGACAGAGTCACAATTTACATTACAAAAACTCTATTTTAAAGAGGTTCTTGGAGATAATAATTAAAAGTATCTCCATTTGATCTCCAGCCATTAATTTAGAAGAGTTAGTTTAGCCATTGGTTGACAAGGGAAGCAATGCCACAATTCACATTCTGCCTTTTTTTTTTAATTCAAACAAAAATACTTATTTTTCCATCTTTTGATCTCAGGTTTTCCTACTTTGAACTACAGCACTACAGTGTTTAATCTACTCACACTAGGGATGTGTTTAAAAATAATTTTCATGGGAAACAGAATAAAGTATCACAGCATCATTAACAGATCCACTGGGTCTGTCATTCATGACTGCTTTTAACTAGTCATGAACAAACTAATTTTGAGCAACCTGTCAGTGAGTATAATGTTAAAAGGGGAAAGAAACACAATTTTCATGAGGTAATAACATTCAATGTTTCCCAACCATAATGACCAGCAAACAAATCTCAAACTATTTCATTACAAGAATGTTGAAAAGGGAAAGAAAACCCATTTCCATGCATTCACCAATCACCACAGGTGAGTGGGGATCTGTTGGAGAGGAAATAATGAAAGAAATTTACAGGAATGGGTTTTCTTAACCTGGTTAGTACTGACAATGGCAGGGTGAAATCCTTCCCCAAGGCTGAAGAAAACAACATAACAGTGCAAGCTATCTTTTCTCTGATACACTCACAATGAAATTTTCTAACACTCTCAGACACACAGCACTAGCAAGAACATAGATGTGGTAGTTAATATTCCATATGTGATAGTACTTCCACCCATATTGGATTAATGAGGGGAAATATCCCTTTACTCATGGAGCTTAAGATAACAATCCAGAAAAACAGAGCCTTAGATCATTTCATACTAGTTTAACCATTTAAAAAAAGTCTCTGGTCTCTGTAAATATAATGTAGTTTCACTACAGAAGCAATTCCCTTCCAGTACTAAATGCCAGCAGAGGTTTAACATGCTGGCTTTTTCAGTTTTTTTTCCAGTTTAATTTGAGAAAGTCTAAAGATAACTTCCTAGGAACTAAGGCTGTAATTAACCATTTTATCCTGTAGTCTGCTCTACTGCAGACTATTGTGTAGAAGTTTTCAAAACACTGAAGTATGTTCCACATACTGAAGTTCTGTTCCACAGAGCTGAAGAAAACAGGGTGATGTAGGCTGACAAAGAGAATCGGGACTCTGTTACAAAGGAAGGCAAAAGTTCTCCAAGCTTCCAGCCACCATAATGAGAAGGAAAATTTCTTTTGTATCTTGTCTGAGAATCTGCTAACAACATGTCTGATAGTACATGAGCTGTGCACTTGAACAGATCCTCTACAGCACTGGTTTGTCCTGGTGTGTCTTATCTCTAGGCACACTTTATCTTCAGAGTTCCCAAAGCCCCATTATGCATGAGAGAAAACCAACCTTCTTGCACAAGCAGCTGAGTCTTTGAATCATAACAATTTACATAACATGTACATGAGGGCAAACTTCTTTCACAAAAGCTTAAACCAGTTCAACATTTTCTGAAATATCTCAATAATGAAAGAGGTCAAGTAAACATCTCTGTCCTCTTACAACCCTCTGACCTGAGAAAGTGGCACCTACCTTCAGCGTTGGGTAGAAGACTGCATGTTTTCCTCCCTTATTTCTGCAAAACAAGAAAACCAAATAGTCACAGTAGCTTTGATAGATAACAGGATTTTAAACTAAGGCTAGCATTCAAAACCAGGTTTGTCCCTTCCAAACTTAAGCATTCTGAGATTCTGTGACACTGTGAAAAGGCTGACAGTGAAAACAGAGGATCCAAGAAGAGATCTCACAACAGAGATGGTTTGATACCATATCACAGTAAACACCGAGATATTTTGTTGCAACTGGATGACAAAGCTGTCAGATTGTAACAGGCAGCTGTGCCTGCTAAATGCGCATCTGAAAAAGATGAAGACATTTGGTTTTCTGACGCAAACTGTGAAATATTTTCTCCAATTCCCCGAATTACTATCTTTCAGGCTAAATTAACTGCCAGCAGTATAAAATATACAGACAGGGCAAGCTATACTGGGCACAAATACCAAGGTGGCATTTTAAACCCCTAGTAATAAGAAGGATGAGTTACAAGGGGTCTCACAGCACCACTTTACCACTTAGGCCAGGAGAAAAAGTGGAGTGCATGGACACACCAAGAAGGAATTGCTCCTAAAATCTCAACACTTGCATAAGTGAAGCCTGTGCACTGGGACAAGCACTCAGATTTCTGCAACTATTTGAAACAGACAGTCTCTGCCTGCTACATGAAATCATTAGCTGTGCTTTGCTTAAAGATTCATGATTTCATTTCTCAGCTCTTGCAGACGTGCAAGATTTCCAGGTGAGAGGCCTCACCAGGGAAGCATACATATTTCAGGCCTGGCTGCCATCCCTGTCCAAGATAATTGAACCTTTGCAAAACAAAGTGGTAACTGAAAAAGAGTTCCTTAAATAACTCTCCCCTGCAGCCAGCTGAACCCCTCAGCTGACTGCCAAGCAGAGCACAAGAGAAGTTTAGAGTGATTTTCAGACAGAGTAGGTTTCATGCATCAAAAGTTCCTCCAGGAAGCCCCACACAGGAACCTCCAAAGTTTGGCTTCAAAGGAAAAAGAGGAAGTACTACTGACAAGCTATCCCTCTGCAACAAGATCGTTTTGCCATGCAAGAAATGTGATTCAGACATGAATCCCAGAAACATGCCATTCAAACAGACATTGGACATTAAAATCAGTACAACAGAGCTTCTGATTTATTCCTTTTTAGTTAACACAAAAAACTGTAATCGTTTGGTGCAAAGTAATTTTGCAACAGGATGCCAAATAATTAAAAATGAAGGCATACAGATCCCAGTCCTTTCATACAAACACATGAAAAAGATCCCAAATTTAAACACTGCTCAACAATAGATTTTTTTTTTCCTGATAAATAAAAGAAGAAAATTACAGGCTGAAAACACCTTGAAAGTTAAACTAAAAATACAAAGGTAGGTGATTTGTAGGTTTAGTTTTAATTTTTGTTTTTTGGTTGGGTTAAATATTGATAAATATTTTAGACCAGATTTTTTCAGAAATAAAGAAATTTTGATTGTTTTTAATACAAGCTTCTAAAATGTGTTTTCCTCTTCCTTTCAGTTGTGTATCTTCACATTAACAATGCACTGAGTAATATAAAAGACACAGCTTTGCAGAAGTAGTAGGATTTGATTGTATCATTTTGCATATTTTGATATTTTTGCATAAAAATAGCAAATTATCAGAGGATCAATAAGATACTGCTGGGTTTATTTATTTGAATCTATTTTAAATGGATTCTTCTAGATCAGGAATCCTCTTGTCATTTCACAATGAACAAGGGTGGACAAAGAACACTATTGCCCTTAACGCTCTCAGTTCTTTCAAAAACTTTATCTGGAAGTCCCTTAGTTTACTTCTATTACATCTCTCTACAGTTCATTCCATCTAGTGGAGGTTTGTCACTTAAACAACGTAATCAGTAGGATTTGTGAAACCAGGCTCCTGTACCATAGATTTTTCTCAGAACTATTTTTGGCTGAGTTATTGGTAATCACCTGACAGCTCCCAGTACTCATCTCAGAGCCTCTGATTAACTGACACTCAATAGATAACTTTGATGGATAATTTCTAAAGATATGACCCATCAGACTTCTCTTCTAAAGATTGTTCTAGTTTATGTGATTTCATGAATCCTTCTCTGATTTTCTCCTCTCACCCAAAACACTCTTTTATGCTGCAGTTCAGTGTTGACACACAGATCACAACCAGCAGAATCTCCATTTGCTGAATTCAGTTGCATACTACAGTCATTGGCCCATGCCCAAAAATATTTGCAGAATGGTAAGTTAATAAATGTAACTCACTTTTTGTATTCAAAGTAGTGTTCAGCAATTTGTTCATCCCAGACAATTTTTGGCTTGTGTTCCTTCAAGGTTTCAATGTACCTACAAATTAAGAACATAGATAAGGAATTAACTTTTCTAAGAAGCAGTTATAAAATTACATTACAGAAATTTCAAAAGAGCAGTTTTACCATGTTTAGATGTTGAGCACAGTATCAAAAATATCTTTTTCTTGACAACTCATTTCCTAAACTACTTTGAAATTTCATGTTTGCATTTTTAGGCTACTTTTTTTCTAAAGTGTTGCATATAAATATCTGAGGGGAGGGTGTCAGGAGGTGGTGCCAAGCAATAGGACAAGAGGCAACGGGCAGAATGTGATGCACAGAAACTTCCACCTGAGCATGAGGAAACACTTTGCTATGTGGGTGACCAAGCACTAGAATGGATTGCCCAGAGGCTGTGGAGTCTCCTTCCCTGCAGATATTCAAAAGGTATCAGGGCACCATCCTAAGTAATATGGTCTCTGGAGCAGGGAACTTGGACTAGATGGCCTCCAGTGACCCCTTCTTAATTTTGTGATTTGTGTGACTCTGTGAATTGATTAATGTTCATTGATAGCAAATCTACGAGAACACATGAAGGCACTGTTGTAATATTTCTACAGTTTGAAACCCATATGCCAAAGCACAGGAACTGAAGTCATCCCTAGGCTGTACACAACTGCTTATGAGGCTTATGTCATCAGGAAAGTTCTTCTAGGTAAGGGGCTTAGCTAATCTTCTAAAACTGAAATTGTCAAGGAAAGTTCACTGCTAAGTAATTCTGCATATGGATTTTCCCCATCACTGGCTTCTTGGTAATATTATCTTGCATAGACATTTTGAACATGGAATGACCTATCTCCCCTGACACAAAGTGAGGATTGAGTACTACTTGGACCCAAAACCCTGGGGTAGAAGAGCTGGTATGCTGTAAATTTATAGCTCATAGTATCCTCTCAGGACAGTGTCTGCATTTCTGCCAGCAAAACAGAAATGAAGCTGCTGGCTGCCACACGTCAGAGGACCAGAAGATGGCAAGCTACTGCCAGTGAGAGAGGCCACACAGGTGTCACATAAAAATGAGAAGTCTCATTCCCCTGTCTCTTCTGCATTTTTTAACCTGCATCTTTGGTCATCTCTTTTTGAAAGGTCTATCAAAGCCATCTTCCACAATTGGTCACATTCTAGCAGTAATTTCTCTGCTTATGACAGGATTTGGATGGAAACATTTCCTTCAAATCATCTTATGTATTATTAAGAAATTTCCATCAGCCACTATCCTGACTGCATCAGTGTTGAAATTCCATCTCACTATTATACATCAAGAAACAGAAAAATTTTGTATTGCTCAGTTTGAAAAACATTTGTTCTTTCATTGGGTACTATTCAAAATGCAATTAAAATATTCAGCATTGCCAGGATTATCTTCTCTCTTTTGCTGTGGCTTGCTCATTCATATACTGGCAAAATGTTTCCTACAGTTAGCGGGTTTGGAAAAGATTTTCTTTTGTATTTATATCAAATGAACCCAGCCAGGCATGGATTTATCTACATAAGCAAACACACAGGACCATGTGAGCGCATGGAAACATGAAGAGCTCTTGCACTCTCCCTAACCCACACATGCCCTGGAATAATGGACCTTTTCAAATGGGGTAAGTTAGACCTTTGGAAGCTGCCCATCCCTTTTTAAGACAAACAAAAATTTTAAGTTGCCCCACTAGAAACATATGCAAAGAAACCTAGTTTTTTATATTTAAAATTTAAGGACAGATTTTAACAAACTGTCCCATTCCAGTAATGACAGGAGACTACACTCATACAGAATATGGTAACAAGGTGTTCCAGAGCAGAAAACAAAAATTACCAGCCAAGACATCCTGGCACACAGCTTTGTTCCTGAATGTATGACTTCAGATGGGAAATATTAATTTCACTTGCTAAAATTCCCAACACAATTAAAGAGTGCTCAAAATACTTATGAACAAGCTTTAAAAATAGAAGTGCAAGTGGAACCAATTATTATACCCTTTTCTATTAAAGGTATATTATTATATTAAACTTGTTAAGGCATATACCACATTTAATGAGCACTCATCTTGACCACGCACAGAGAATTTATTTCCCTTTCTTCTGTCTCTAGGCATTTATCCCCACAGTATCTAACAGCAAAACTGAACAAGTTCATCTTGAAATCACATCTACAGTGATGAGACTAGCTACAAGCTTGAGTTGGGGAAAAAAAGAAGTATTAGCCTCCAAATTGTCATTGCTATCCACCAATCTTAGGGAGCCTACTTGAAACATATGGACTTGGTTTTTATGTTTCTCTGTTAAGGACAACAAAAATTCCAAGCACAATGTTTAAACAATAAGCTCTCATTTACTTCAGTTGCAACTGCATGCTCAATGCCTACGAAAATCAAGCTTTATCTTATTCAACGAGACACAAAGTTGCTGTGAAGAGTTGGGAAGAGGTGCATCAGCAAACCACATCTCTTTCCCATGGGTCTTCTATTGCCCTAACTTGGGAATAACCCATTCCCTTCTTGTAGTCATTTCCCCTTTACTTGATACCTTTTCTTTCAGTAAAAGAAAGTAAGAACTCTAAGAGATGCCATATTATCCTATTATCTCAGTAGTATCCTACCATGTGCACCATAAGTGGAAAGGTTCCTGTGTAAAACTGCAGCAGCTCAACCACAACACACTTGCTTGACTCAAATTAATGCATACCAGGCACTCTTAATATATTATCTCCTAGCTGGGGCAGTACTTGACTCAACAAATATTTGACATGTACTGGTTAAAATAAATAAATAAATAAATAAACAGAAAAGCAAAATTTGCCATCACACCGAACAAGACAAGGGATGTCAATGTGTCTGGGACAGTAGAATTCTAGATAAATTTTCAGGTTCTCAAAGAGGAAAAGAAAGGGGCAAGAAGCTCACCACAGCCAGCTTTCCTTTTTTTTACCCCTCATTTCACTCTGTACCTTTCAACTCATATTTAATGCTATTTTTTCATCCTCTCTTTCTAATTTATTCCTCTTACTACTGCCTCTGTGCCAGTTCACTCCTGCTTTTATACAGCTATCCAGACTAATTCCTCATCCATCACCTCCTAACTTACTACCTTTCTTCTTTTACCAAGCTGCCTCAGCAGTTAAGAGAATGAAAAACACTGAAAACTCAGCTTCACAGCCCTGCACTACATATTTCCTAGGAAGTTTGTGACCATTTGCAGAGCAAGTCATGCTCTTTCTGTGGTGCTAGCCTGAAACAAGGTCAGCACAGATGAAGTATCTGGATTATTGATGCCAGCCTCTACTGAAGCACCAGTGCAACATATAGAAATAACAGATCTGCATGGATCATCAGCAATAGTAACAAAAGGCCAGTGTCACCTACATGTCCACCTTGCAAATACATGTTCTGACACAGACAAGTGCCATCCTGGCTCAGTCAAATTGCCATGCCTTTGTCAAAATGGGCACTTCCTGGTATTCAGAGAACAATTATTTGTGTGACAGATACTCCTGGTTACAAACACTCCCTTCTACAAATTAAAAGAGAAGCCAAAACATACATATTATGGAGTTGCTGTAAAGTCAGTCCTGCCAAAGATGTGTACCTATGCACAACCCTAATGTGGCTACACCTACACACTATTGCACTTTACTGCTTATTCAATGAATAACTAAAGGAACCAGATGAAAGTTTCTCAGGATTTATGCCTGGTGTTCCTTTTCTTAGATGCTTTTCTTCCAAAACATGAAAAATGGCATGGCCCTGGAATATGTTAAGGTAAAACCCACAATCTTTAGTCCCCTTGAAGAAGCTATTTATCTTCATGGATAATGCTTTTTTCACTGAGAATATAAAGAAACCAGCCTCTAGTATATCTTTTGCAACAAAAATTTACATTCTAGGAAGAGATAGTTTTGTATTTAATTCTTAGACTAGGATTTATTTATGAAGTTAAACTTTTTAATCTCTGGGTGTTTTGCTTTACTAGTCCTGAATCACACTTCAACCAAAAAACTTTAGTGAAAAGGAAACCACTACTGAGCATACATTGCATTTTAATGCTCTTTTCTAACACTTTATATTTTCTCCCCAGTTCTCACATGAACAAAACTCTGATTAGAAGCAATAGGTCTCTAATCAGAATGAAGGATCATTTTCTCCTGCTACAGAAAATTGAGTTTACAGTCTTCAACTGTACCATATTTGAGAGATTCAGTCAAAGAACAAAAATACTCCTCAGCTTTAAAATCTATACCACACATTTTCTTTTCAGTTTTCTTCAGTTACAATAGGCTTAGTTATTAAAATGTGAACCTACCAGGAATTGTATCTCCATAAATATCAACAGTGCCTATGCATGGCAAATTTTAGACACAGCTAGACAGGGCCCATCTTCCCTCTTTATAGGGAGCTGTATCTCTTAATAAAAGTACGAGAAAGGCTGTATTTTAGAGCTCAAGAGTTCCAATTTCTGATGCAAAACAAATAGACAGAAATAGCTCCAAAACCAGTTTTTACAGGCACACTCCTAAGAACATTCTCTGTACATATCTTCCAAAAAAGTACCAGTCCATTTCTCCACTGCTCTGTGTACATCAGGACACTCTGTGAATGGGAAGATACCCATCTTCAAAACAAGAGTTTTTAGAGGAGTTGTATATATAACGCATAAGTCAAACCCCTTTTTATTTCATGTTTAATTTTAGCTGCCTTGACACTTACCATTTAGGGTTTTTCTTAAATTACTTCCTTTTAGTAGAGACAAAATGTCAAGAAACAATACAATCTGGAGACATTTTTAAAAAAATGTTTTAAAAGTGGGAATTTTTTGGCCTTCTCTGCTTCATAGAAGATAATTTCTGAAAAACAAATGCAAAAATTCTGAATATCCTATAAGCTATTGAATGATTTAGTCATGAAACTAACAGCTTTGATAATAGGTGTCTTCCATGATAATAAATAGAAACACAAAAAGAAAAAATTTGAAAAAGAAAAAGGATTTTATACAGATTTTGAGTTCTCAATCACTCAGTCCCTAAAACTGCAGCTTGCAAAAGGCAGAGATGCCCTACAATTTAACCATCTTTACATATTAGCCTTTAAAATACTTTTGAAAGCATTCATAAATTTATGAAATACCTAGCAGAGTCATTAACAACATAATGTCATTTATGTGTGTGTGTGTGTGCATGTTTATATATACAGCATTACACAGTGCAGAAAAAAAGATCAAAAACAGACTGAATGATTAAGCTTTCACCACACTGGTTCCATCAGGATCACTTAAGAACCTTTTTACTCATCTCCTATCTCCACTCAATAACACCATATTTACAATTTTTATGCTTCCAACTTTAAAATGTTGCTTAGCACTGTATCCCTTGCTTGCACATTAAAGAATTCAGATTTTATTAACACATATCCCACAAGTTCTTTCAAAAGCAAATAGGTTATCCAGGAAAAAGACAGTTACTATGTATGAATCAAAAGTATGAACTAACATGGAAATAATTTTTACTCTGAAGATTTATGCATCTGAGTGGAGAGCACACTATAAGCCTGTCTATAGGGTATATTATTCAAAAATAATTGTTAAGTCTTTAGATTATTTAATGTAAAAGAACTAATAAAGGCAGTTTGAAGAGAGACATCAATCAGTTAGCTGTTAAAATATCCAAATAGCAGCCTAGAAATGAAAAATCTATAAGCAAGCACCATCTTTCTCTAGTAATCTCTCTGTTGCTGCCTGAACCTTGCTCTGTCAGTTTTAAAAGTAATAAAGAATATTTTTGCTATTTTAATAGTAACAGGTTTGCAACATATTAGTTTTTCTGGGTGTATTGCTTTCAGTAAAATTTTATAAAATCATTCTCACTGATTTCTTCACTATACTTCATTACTGACTTGATAGATGACACTTTTCAGCACTTCCACACCAACCTCACACAAACCCACTGACCTTGTACTTCTGCCATGACCACCAGCCCAATGAAAACAAGAAGAAGCTCAGTGACATTTCTATCATTACTCTGGGCTCTTCAAAAGAGCATCTTGTTCAGCATTTCCAAAGTAATTTAGAAACAGGAATACTTTGCTAGACACAACTGCAGAGAGACAGAAAATTGTTCCTAATTTACAGATTTCAGCAGACAGAGTAGACAATGTCAAGCTTTTCAGAAGCATCCCTGTCTCAAGAAAAAATGAGCATCAAAATCTTCTTGTGCATTACTGATGCTACAGAAGAAAACATAAAAAATACATATTTCTATGTATAGAGCTTTACATGTTGGTGGTGGCCCTTATTGTCAGCTTCACAGAGGTTTTATAGGGAGACTCACCCGAGAGTAGGATGTAGGGAGATAGAATATAAGAAAATAAAGATAGTGTAGAAAGTAATCTTATCCCTAAGGAGTTGCAGCTGGGCCTATTATCAAAGATTAGGAACAGGCCTGAATTTAACAAGGCACAGCTATAAGCAATGAGAAGAAGAGTGCTATAAAAGAGTGGGGTGCCTGGTTGAGAAGGGAACTGGAGTCAGTTGGTTGCTTTGTGAAGAAGAAAGAGCTGTCCACGAGAAATTCAAGAAGGCATGAAATTTTTGTGATAAGGAGACACCAGTATGGAACCCCTGCAAAAAGATGTCAACAGTTAGATATTGATCTATTAATAGAATTAATCACACACAAGGCAGAAAGGTGTGAGCATTTATCTATATATTTAAGATTTTTTACTCAAACTGATGAATTTGGGAGGAACATACGAAAATCTCCTTAAAGGAAACAAGACCTTGATTTTTAAGTCAAAAACTATTTCTTAGACAATGAGGATAATAATTAGATTGAGGGAGAAGGTCTGCTTATTGGTTTGTGTGCCTCCAGTAACACATTGCTGTTCAGTAGCATGACTGTTTCTAAAGGAAAACTGAAAATATGTATTGTTGAGAAGCCAATGTGATTCTTTCCTCAGTTGGGGTCAAACCACTGCACTGACATTACAGAAGCTTAATGCCCATTCTTCATAGAAGAAACACAGGTCCTAACAGATTCCTATAAGGCACTATATCATCAAGAAACAGTAAAAGTATTAGTGCTTCCTAGACCATACATAAAAACTTGCATTCTTCTCCAGCTCACCCAATAATCTGCCTTAGTTTCTGTCTTAGAGTCTCAGACAAGACAGAGTGTTTCTGCTTAAAAATACTTCTCACCATGATGAAAACTAATGTTTGTTTATCCCTACAGGCTTGTTTCAAGAACCAGCAGGTTCACCCTAAAAATAAAATCTCTGAAGACAGAACTGCTTGTTTAAGGGCCCATTTCCTGAAATGTTTAAGTAACACTCAATTGAGGTTGAAGCATTTTCAGATCCATCACTCCAAATAAAATACTGTGCTCTATTCTTCTAAGAACTGACATAATAAGCACTGCATTTGAAAAAGTGGGGCTATTTACCTTTGGATGTGAGGCTGAACAAAGTTCAGATCCGCCAATATATCTGCTGCTCAGCTTCAGCTGTAAATAACAAAAACTAAAAAACTATGCTACTTCTGTTGTGTGTCAGATTGGGTTTGTTGGGATTTCTTTTACTCACGTCACAAAAACTTTACAGACTTTCTTCTTGCTCAAAGTACACAAGTCAGCTCTATTTACATAGTGCTACACAGATTAGCAATGAAAGCTGTTATACTGGATTTGGAGCCTGGTCAGATTCAGTTAATCTTAATTCAGTGTATAGGAGATGAAGTTTGATCCACTCCAGTATAAAAATAAATTTTGAGTGCAAACTCATCTACTTTGATATTCTTAATTTTTCTATACCTCCTTCATTTTAAAAGGTACATATTTAAAAATCACATTTCTTTTCCATCCACTTCTAAAAGGTCAGATGATCTTAATGCAATTAAATACCACTTTTAGCTTTCCCAGTTGCTTCTTGTATTTCTCTTCAACCACTCCTGAATTTAAATCATCCCAACACAACACAAGGTCAATAGCAATGTCATCCAGCAGGTTTAGGAAACACAAAAGCCAGTAGGAACATCTTTTCCTCACCCTGTGTCAGGAAGGGAGAAGTGCAGTTCTTCCTCCAAGCCTCCACCTCAGCCAGGCAGGTGCTCATGCCCTGTTTCCAGAGGGTTGCTGAGATGCCCTGTTTGAGTCCCATGCAGGGGCAAGGACTGCTTGGTAGCAAAGGAGAAATGAAGGGAACGTGCATTGGGGAACATGCATCGGGTGCAAGCAGCAGAAGGCACCAAGGGTGGGACAAGGACATGAGCGAAGAGGAAGATCTGCTCACAGATGACTTATGTCAGGCAGAGCACAAAATTTGCAGGCTGCAGGAAGGACTCTGGGGATATAACACTGACTGAGACCAGCAACTGCCTTAGGAATGAAATGCTGCCTCTGTTGTCTCTCCCAAAATAGGTGGTCACACAGAAGCGGAGCTGTCTGCAAGGAACCAGAACTTCAGACAATGAAATAAACAAACTACAGTAGAGGACTGTACCCTGAAAAAGCTAACCACTATTTGGATTCCCTTTGCTTCTGAGAACAAGACACAGAAAAGTATCTGCACTTCCAAGTAGCCTCAGAAGAATGTTCAGGTTCCTTAGCTGACAATCACATCAGGCCTACAATTTCCACTACTATCATGAATGAGTGGTTTGTCTGCTTAAAGCAACAAAGGGATTGGCAAAAGGAGGAGCTAAACACCAAACACCTTCTATAAAATAAAAGAAACACAGCTCAGGAATAGTTTTTTTGGCATGTAGTAGTTATAGAAGCACAGTAATAAATTTAAGTTATCAAGCTTAATACAGCAGATAGTTTCATATGAAAGAAATCATAAATTCCATCCTTGGCAGGGAGGATTGTAACTAGAGAAGTTAAGTATCCTAAAGGAAAATCTATGGCAGAGCAGTAAATTTTCCAAACCTCCAGTGTCCCATAAAGATATGAACTATATACTCTTTTCCATCTTCTGGGACCAGATGAAGTGAAGAACAAAGAACACTGTTGCTGACTTTTGAGTTAATTTTTCATACTTGGCAGAGAGCTCTTTCTCCTCTCAATTGACCGGTACATCAACAGAACTAATGTAAGACTTTCAGACTTTGTTTTTTGAAAAGACAGAATGATGACAAATTCATGCAAATGAGTATTAATCTCTCATAAAAAATGCAAATCTCAGAAGGTTAATACATTTTTAACATGCCTTAAAATAATCTAGATATCACATAATTCCTCAAGTTTTGGCATGACTTGAATTGAAGACAGGCTATGAAGTCATAAACTATCTTTTAACCAATGAGAGTGGAAGTTTATGCCCTTTTAAATTGCTAACTTTATCAAGGCAGTTAAGTAAATATTTGAGAACACGAATTTTAAATCACTTGATATTTAGTTATACTAATGCATATTCATGTGACAGTGTTCAGTTTTAAAGAAAAGCCTGGGCACTTTTCATCATGAAAAAATGGCAGAACATCTTCCTTATCTTTGCCATAACTTCAAAAACTATTTGGATATTCTTATCTATTTAGTTTCTGCTGAAGACACATAACTTCCTTCTGATAAAATCTGCTAAGAATAAGAATAAATTAAAAAGCAAAAAGAAATATGCACCAACTTATTTAAAATTATTTCCAAAAGAGCTGTTACTGAAATCAAACTGTAACACTTGGATTGCAAATCAAAGGACAAAATGATGGCCGCCAAATTTTTGCCCCCTTTAAATTTCAAAATGCAATACTATTTACCTCTAACAGGCGTGTGGATAATTTTTTAAAATCTTTAATTAAACAGCACTTATAGCATTAACCTCTCAAAAGATCTCTGGTTGGCTCAAGAAATTGCTGGTTTAAAGGAAGAATAAAAAGGGCATTATACTCAGCATACGTGGGATCTGTGTACATCTAAATTTTGTTAACATCTGGGGAAGTTAGAAAATAAATTCTTTTGTGTGCTTGTATGACAGAAGTTTGCTTTTTGCAATCATTTGAACAAATTCAGACAGTAAGTGTTGACAACTTATCCTAGTACACTGCTAAAGTTAAAACAATCAGGCATTTCTGTGTCCAAAGTTGTTCCATATGCAAACATATTAAATTGCAATAACACTTTCAAAACACTATCACTTTGCACTACGTACACAAGCCATCCAACACATGGAGCAATCACCAGAACAGCTGTGCAATCAATAAAAGAAGAATGTCCTTTAAACACTTACTAACTGTTAAGTTAAGCAAGTTAAATATTAAGACTATGATATGCATGTAAGAAAGGCAAATCCAGAGAGTCAAAAGCAAGATTAAAGAGTGAAAAATACTCCAAAGGATCAATTTCTAAAAGCATAGTGGCTGAGAGATGGATACAATGTGGAATGAAGGCACGTCTTTTTTTCTTTTTTTTTTTTTTAAAGCACAATTCTGAAACAACTGTTGCGGAAAGAAGCTTTCATTTTCCTTTTTTCTTCTGATTTCATCAGTGAACATTGCTTCTTTCAGAGGCCCAGAAAAAGCATTTGATTGCTTTAATTAAAAAAAAAAATTGTTACTGGTGAATCATGTCTGACAAGATTCTGAAAGGTTCATACCCACAAACAAGTCAACTTTTCTACCTTAAGGCAGGCCTGAGGGGAGAAGCAAAGCTCTACTTTTCATTGCAAAGAGCTATTTCCAAACCATATGGCAGACGTGCCACCTGGGAATAACTCCCTGTGCCCTACATACCTAATTAACACGAGCTCTTGCTACAGTGGTATGCACAGAGAAGAGGAATGAATGACCTTGTTAGGTGAAGACACATAAAAAGAGGATGAAGCAAGGCTTGGAGATGAAGAGAAACAGATGGGACTGTCAGCTGTAGAGCCCTATAATGCACGAGCACGGATAACATGGGGAATATTGCTTGGATTAGACGAAACAGTTCCAACTGCAGTCACAGGAAGACTTACTGACCTACATTTGGGATTGGTAAGGTTTTTGCTGCGTGGTATTTTAGTTGTACTTACTTTTACATGAAGTGGAGGGCTGTAATCTGCTCCTCTCTCGCTCTGCATTGCAGCTACTCCTCTAAGTGCCAGTACTGCTTTATACACTTTGTAGTCTACACACAGCTACTGCACCACTTCAGAAGCTCTTTAATTTCAATCCCCCACCCCCAGGATGGTACAGTTTTCTCTTTAAGAACCATTACTGCCAGAAAATGGATTCTGTACTCAGCATCAAAAATGCTTAGTGATCAATTCCAGAAGTCCTGAAGATAAATAAAAATATCTCCTCACACCATTAAAAAAGTGCAGGCTCTTGCCTTAACAATAGGCTCTAATTCCATAAGTGAGATTGTTTGAACTTGTTTGGCAGACTGATTTAGGCACTTGCTGATTTAAAATCCCAAATATTATGTTGTTAGAAATATTTTCTCTCCCACAGAGCTCTATATTTGTGGATTATGATGGCTGCTGTCTTTGATCAAATGCTCAGAAAGTTTTCAAGCATAAGACCAAACTTGGAGGAAAAGAACCTGCTGCAACACACGACTGAGAGCCAGAACACAGAGAAATGCCCTGAGAAATCCAAAATGCATTTTATTGGGCCATTTGTCTATGAGGACAAGGCTATCACATACATCACACGTTACAGACTTCCTAAGAGGATGAGAACAAAAGAAAAAAAATCATTGAGGACAAGAGGTAATTTTTATCCATTAATATTTCCAAGCAAGGAACAGCAATTCAAGTATGCTAGATACTTTTTTTGGATCCTGGGGAATAAAGAGATAGATTACTAGATCTATTAATTTACATTCACAAAACATATTCCAATTACAAGTAGTTTCTGACCCTTTCTGGCCCCACAGCCATTGCAAGAACCTCTTTAATTACTTGCCTTTTTTGCAGTAAAATACAATTAAGCAGCACTAATTATTTGACACAAGATATTTTAAGTATGGAAGAGGCTAACCAGTTGCTATAACAACATAATTGAATGAACTTGACTGGCAGGTACTACATAGTCTTCTCCTATGGCAGAAGAGTTTTGTTCTGCACCTTCACTTTCAAATGTATCATCTTTGCTCTAATTTATACCTACAATAAAATAAGAAGATATTGAATAGAAGAGTGCTGAAAGAATTCACAAAAGCATCATTGTTACAGCATTTCACACCACACGATAATACATAAATATTAAGCAATTATGACAGAGGTGGGAAGACCATGGATTAAAATAAAAAACCTATGTAGAAACAAGGTCTTCTTCTGAGGACCGAAGTCTGGGATAACATTATAAATTAGACAGAAACAATACCAATCCAAAACCAGTCAATAATGATAGGGATTTTTTTATGATAAAACAGTGACTTATCCCTACATGGGCAACTAAAGATGCCATGATGTATAAGTACTTCTTAAAAAATACTGCAACATCATTTAAAAAATTCATTTAAAAAAATCAAGTCAGATATCCAAAACTTATAAAAACCCTCTAAATTTCTTTATGTGATTCCAGATAATCTTCATTGTATTCCCCAAAAGACCACAGAGGGAAAGGGAGGCTGAGAAATTATCAAGTTGGCCTAACTAGATTACACAACAGGATTGGTTAACTTCAGGAGCACTTTTTTCAATGTTCAGAAATCAGGATAGATTAAGGAAAGATGAACTGTACATAAGATTTAAGGACAAACATAGAAACATTAGGATTGAAAAATAATTAAAATAGCAATAAGGCTGGTTGCTAAAATATCAGTACTAAAAAAAGTCAATATCCTTACCCACACATATTAAAAATGGAATAGACAACAACATCACTCAGTATATCAGATGTGAACAAAAACTACTCAATTTACATCATGGATTATATTTGTAGAGACAGAAGAATAAAATATATTTTTCATTGCCCTAGTCATAAGAAACATTAATATGTAGATTGTGTGCTGAAACTTGCTGAAGTTCATGATGATTTTACAAGGCTGAAGTAGATGCTGAGAGCAAGTTTTGCTCCCATCAGTTTAGTAAATCTAAGTGATTTAGTAATGAGGGAGCAGGACATAGGGATTAACTCATAGACCAGTTATGAGTTAAATGTTCTGCTGCTGGTTTGCTACTCCTACCTCTCTTTTATGATCACAGGCAAGTAATTTATCAACATGGAATATCCCCAACATAAAACAAGGCTGTACTTACTTTCACTAGTACATTGAAACTTCACACTGGATATCATGCCCACATTAATTACTTCCAAAATTATTGTAAATCCTCACATAAAGAGACTCAGGTCTAATTTGGATGCACTGTTCATAAAGAAATTCTGAAATTTTAGTTAGCATAGGAAAGGGCCATGGAGGATTCAACAACAATCCTTGCTTGGTGGGAGCCTGATTGCACCATGTTCCTCTATATGAGCCAAATAATTTAAAACTCCTTGCATTACGTAAATGACAAGCTAGCAACCTCTAGAAAACACACTCAGCTAAGCAATGAAGCTGGGGAAGGATCTGGAGCACAGGTCTGATGAGAAGCAGTGTTTAGCCCACAAAAAAAGGAGGCTTAGGGAGAACCTTATGGTGGTTTATGAGTTAAATTTCTGAAACAGAATGCCAGTACAGAAGGTTGAGCAGAAATAGAAATTAGACATAACAATTCATCCGCTTGCTCTCTGCTACTTCCTTTTTTCTTTTCAAAAACATTAGGAATCACAGAATGGCTCAAGTTGGAAGGAACCACTGGTCATCTCATCCAACCTCTCTTCTCAAACTCTACAGCACATTATTCAGGGTTATGTCCAGGCAGCTTTTGAATAGGTTAAAAACCTGAGGAAAAAAGAGCAATGATTAATACCTAAGGTAATCTTTATGGTAAAATACTTGATGGGTGTAAAGCTTTTCAGTTTTCCTTTGGCCACAACTGTCTGGTTTTCGGCTGTTTGAAGGGCCTGGAAAGGCCCGGGGTGGCCTTGGGGCAGCCCACGTATCAAAGGACGAGAAGAGGCTTCAGTTCTTCTTTCGGTCTTTATGTTTATTAAATGTTTATCTAAAAGATTTTCTTTTGGCCCGACAGAGGTCTGCTCAGCAGCCAGCCATGAGCACACTGTGTCCGCCCTCCGGACAGTCACCTATCTTTATACCCATGGTTACGTGTACAATATTTATCATTTTTCCCCAATACCATTTATTCTTATTGCCCGATGTACTTTTAGTAATGACCAATCCTAAAGTGCCACCATCACCATAGAAGATGGAGGAGAAGAAGAAGAAGAAGAAGGACAGGACATGCCCCAATTCCTCCATCTTACTTCTCTAAACCCCCCTGTACATAAATTCTAAACCCTGTGTCTCACCCTCTAATTAACTAATCCCTTCACCATTCACCCTGGTGAAGTCCTCCTATCCTCATACAGGTGTTGTCTCCCGTGTAGGATCAAAGTCCAGCCACCAGACACTTCTGGCAACATTCCAGGACTCCCGAGCCCCCCAAGGGTGGTCTCGGTGGCTCGGCACCTCAGTCCTGAGGTGCTGAGATCCCACACACAACTAGCTAACTAGAGAATTAAAATCAGCATTCAAGAACAAGCTACCAGTTGCTGATCAAGCCTTTCACAGCTGAAGCTGAACAGTAAAGGGACCTGGTTTAGTGCGCTTGCAGAGCAGAGGGAAAGAAATCAGAGCCTCAGCCCCAGATGATGCAGAACACAATGAGACAGCAAGACCCTTCTTACAGTGCCCATAGTGGCCCCCCAGATATTCAATATGCACTGAATGTGAAAATCAGCTTTAGTTCACTAACAGAAAATTAAATACATCAAAGAAAATGCTGATGAGTGATATTCTTGTATTGGCTGTCCCAGTGAGGCATGTCAGCAAAGAGAATTAAGTAATCTGTGGAATGTTCCCCTGCTGAACCAGCAGAAGAGGACCTTGTAAAGGGAAGTATGTGGTCTGTTAAGGCTGACATGACAGACAGGACAACTGCTGAATTTAAATGTAATTTCAGGAGAAATAAGAAATTTCTTGAGAGGGCACACCATAGTCCAATGGTTACACTGTGTTAAACACTCATTCTGTGACAGCATTAGTTGCTGCATTTGAAGTATCTGTAAATCAAAATACTGGACAGTTTCCTTGCTACAATGAGAGTACAGTGACTGAAAGGAATATTACTATTGTTTTCAATAATAAAACAGAACAAAACAGGTTTTTCTAATTCATGTCATAAAATTAGATGTACAGGAGTAAGTGAACCACCACATCTACAACTGTAAAATTTTCAAAGCCCAGAGAGAGCAGTTTAATGCAGGAGAGAATAGCACTGGAAGAACCCTGGTAATTGAAGGAGTGCATAGTTCACAACTTTGAATCAGAGAAGAATATAACCATGTTAAAAACAGGAAGTGATAAAGTAGTTTTACGCCTGTAAATTCAGCAAAATGTCTTGCTGAGTTATTTCAGGCAAATCATCATGATAAGTCTCAAATGGGCAGTGGTTGAAGTGTACACATGATCCAGGTAATTCATGTTAGGAAAAACAGAGCAGTTTGAGGCTGCTGCAATGACAGCACAGCAAGCTGAAAGAACTGCATCCTATGGTTTGCAATTGACTGTTTCAAAACCATGTGCACAGTATTCAAAGAACTGACAAAATACCAAATTTTCCAAATAGCAGTGTTTAGGAAACAGTGTCTGAAAGACGTATGTGAGCATTTCTCACAGGGAAAACCTGAAAACTTATCAAAACCAAATATTCATCTCACTTTTTGATTACTCAAAATGGTACTCTGTAAAAATCTTCTCCTAGTGTCCTGTTTATCAACAAATGCAATAGTAAAGCATATAAATTGCACAAAACAAAGTTAGAAAACCTAGAGCTGTGCTCATACAAGAGACATGAATGAAAGTCAAAAGCAGTACACAGCTGCTCTTGTTTGCCATTTTTACCAGACCTGACAAATTATGATTTATTACTAGTGTTTCTTAAGTCTAAATTTCTATTCCTTCATGTCAATTACAAAGATAAATGTTCTTTTATAAAAATCCTGACTATAAAGGTAAATTCACAAGGCAATGAAACACAGATTGAATGCTTCCATCTCAAATTTGTACGTAGCACAGTAACACAAAACCTGCATGCTAGGTCTGACCCTCTAATCCACTGAGCACTGCCTTGCAGGTGGTCAAGTACAGAGCCTCAAACATTTTCACAAATTTTCTTATTAATAAGATCCTTTGCTACAGAAGACTTCAGAAAGAACTAAGTGCTCAAATGCTTTGGGCACCCTGGGTTGCAGACAGCAGAGATCATATCTAAACTGATGGGGAAAAGAGAAGGCTCAGGCCTTAGGAGTTCCAAATCTATCATATTTTCTTTCAAGAGCTGGTAAGGGACAGACTGGTCATCTGTCATGTTACTTAAATATATCAACAAACTTTAAAAAGCATTGGAATGAATAATTAAGAAGATCATAAATTTTGCACTACCCACAAAATGAATGTACTTTATGTTTTTCAAATATAAAAGAAATGCATATTTTATTATAAAACAACATTGACTGTTGGTGGCAGTAAGAGCTGGATTTATGCATTATTCACTCCTGAAAATACTCATTAATTCAAAGACTGTCTGATGGTGTTCATGCCCTTCTGCAACACTAAGCACAAAGGGGAGTGAAGGCATTTCAAACCCAAAACTTGTGTGTCATGTGGTTTTGCTGGCAGTGCAACTGGGAAATACTAGCACAGCATCCAGTCACTGCCAGTTACACACTGACCTGCAGCCTACAGAAGGATCAACTGAAAGAATATGACAAAGCCATGGCTGCAGGCAGTGTTTCCAAGCTTACCAGAAAGCATTTGGCACGACCTGAGCATTCTCAGGTTCAGCCCCAGGCAGGGTCACTTCCAGAGAATGGCAGTGCAGGGATGTGGTAATCACATATCCTCAGAATAGAGAGAGACATAGCTGTCCCAGGAAAATCCTGGGAAGCTGTGAGAAGTGCACTAAAATGCACTAAACCAGGTCCCTTTACTGTTCAACTCCACCTGTGAAAGGCTTGATCAGCAACTGGTAGCTTGTTCGTGAATGCTAATCTTAATTCTCTAGTTAGCTAATTGTGGCCAAAGGAAAACTGAAAAGCTTTACACCCATGGAAACTTAGAGAAAAGAATTAAAACAATTATTATCTCACTTTCTGCAACTGCTTATAGATGTAGTTCTCCAGAGTGTGCTATCCACAGTTCACCAATAGTGTGAGAAGTTTTTACTTTGAGACCAATCAAGTCTCACCTTAGTGAGTCACATTATAAAAAGATCCTCTACTTTCATTAAAGTAACCTTCTAAATCACCCTTTGAAGACTGGAGTCTTTCATTCCATCCCTGACTCAAAGCATCACACGGGTGCATCAGCCCATGAGTTTCTGTAATCCACTTTCTGCCAGTGGCTAA